ACAAAAAAAGAACAGACGAAGCTAAGCCACGGCAATAACAACAAAATTACATTTTTAAAGCGCCAAGTCCTCCCACTGAGTCCTCCCAGCTGAGCATAAAGACACATAGTCTGTGTGTCTGTCAGTGTGTCAATTTACATTCCATGTTGGATCGTTTGGTTGCAAGCGAAGCTGCAACAGGTACAACTAATACAACAAAAAACAATATCCAATGTCAGTAACAGTAATAAAATTAAAACTGAATTGCATTGTACTAAATAGATAGAATCCAAAATGTTAGAGGATCTGTATGGTTACATCTTCTGACAGTTTTATGCTCCAAAACTCCTAGTGAAAAGTTTTCTGAGATTCTATTAATTAAGGTGATACCCACACCCAAGTGTAACCCAATCTTCCCTTCATAAACCAGCTGAAGTTAAAATGTTGACTACCTAAGAACAGATTTGTTTATTGTTGTTGGTCAATAGAGGGCAAGTAGCAGTCATCACTTATGAAATGGCCATGTTAAACTGTCAAGAGAAATCTGTTCCTTTTAGTGGTTAGTAACATAGAATTACTACAACAAAATTACATTTGTAAAGCGCCTTTCATGTCGGGAGGACGTCCCAAGCCGCTGAATTAAGATATGTTATCTATGTATCTATTTGCTAATGAACCATTTTTATTTGTTGATGGCACTTCAATAGAACACTAAATCATACATTAAATTTCACAGTTGGCAAAGAAACGCATATTGAGGCATTTTCAGTAACAATAGTCATTGCTAAGATCAAAAACTTTAATATATAGCAAGTCTCATTTATATTCTGATTTTAAAATACCTTATCGTAGCTGATCATAATAATCACATTTTACAATTGTCTGAAATTGTTAACTGGGCAGGGGCGAGTTACAGAATAAATTGTTAGAATGCAACATCCTGATTTGAATCTCTATAACTTCTCCAAACTGGAATAAACTGAGTTAACCAAAAGAGCATGGACAATTTCCTGCTTCAACATTCTGCAAAATACTATCTGAATTTCAAAGGCCTACAATCTCCAAGTGTAGGAATACTGCATATATTGCTACTGATACAGAGAAAATGAATTCCACTGAAAGGCAGGTAAACTAGCTACAAGAGAAAGAATTGCTTCCACTATCTCTCGAAAGCCAAAGTACCAGGGTTTCACCATTGCTTTTCTTTTGGACACATGAATAGATATATATAGATTATGGGTATTTAGATTTGCAGTTTGATATTCATTTATATCCTGCATGAGATGGACAGAAGCAACATAGGTAATGTAGGTAATCTAATGCACTTTTTTTTCCAGTAATACAATGGAAGAAAACAGTACCCTACCTTTCACAAAAGGAACTCTGGACCTCGAGGGCAACATTAAATCCTGACCCAATGTTGATTTAACAAGATGGTAAATGTTTCATATTGGTCAACTGAAAATAGCTGAGGTAATTATTTGGTTAAATGCAATTAACTAAAGTCATTAACATACCCAGTTTAGTTCAATGGGATCTACCAATAGCACACGTCACATTTGGACCAGAACTTAAAAAAATGTAGAGGCAGAAGTTAATACATAATGATATACTGTACATCCTGCACAGTATTGTTTAGATATGATTAATCATTTTATCAAATGAATACTTGTCAAAACTTCCACAAATCTAAACATGTATTGATGCAGTAGACTAAATCAGAAACTCCCTGCACTTTTCTCTTTAGGGATTGATCTGCTAGTACTGTCGTTCATCTATTCTCCCCTAAATTAGAACATGGAAATCAATCAAGAGCCAGAATAAGCCTCAACTCTATGCTCAAAGACAATAAATCCTAAACAGGTTCAATTTACTGATATCATCATCCATCAGTGGAAGTGCGTTATCCCTCACAGAGATTTTGGCAGTTCTGGATATAGACTGAACCTAAACCGCTTACTGGTGGATAAATTTTACTCAATGTGCCTGAGGTGGTGCAGCCATCTTCATTTATAAAATGCCCTGGAAGCACATCCTTCTCCTCCAAGAATCAAGTTTCTTGTAAAGTTCTTGTGCTTTTTAACTTGGAATATCACAGTAGAATTTGTGGCAAATGTAGTGAAATGAGCCACTTCATAATGATTCAAGAAAGTTTAAGGATCCTAACCAGAGCTGTGGACAATTGGCTTCCAAACCAAATATACAGAGGTGGAAGGAGAAATCACCGTCATGCTTCCCTGGATGAGAGCCACTATATTAAATGCTAGTTGTTGTGGTTGTTATGGCACTATCTCAAATATAAGAATTATTATTGTTATTTCTAAATGAATTTTGTTACCCAGCGACCTACTGAAAAGGCCTATCTAATCATTATTGAGCTGCCTTACACACCTAGGTGTAGGGTGTTTTAAGTTAGTTACTGGAAACTCTTCCAAGCCACGAAACTCATTTTTGGTAAGGTCATTAGATTCATTTAAATAAAAATTCATCGTCTAAGTCGACATTTGCTCTAATGCAATGCAATTACCATTAAAAAAAATTATAAATAAGTGATTTAATTCTGCTTTTGGCTGAGTATTATGCAGTTGCAGTCTTCCCACTGGGACCAATTGCTTGCCAATGGCCAATTCCTTCCAGTCACGAAATGATGCACAATTACTATTAATGGCTTTATTTTTGTTACTTAATCAAATTAAAAACTCAGCAATTCCCAGGAGTCCAACCTTAACCATACTGCTCTGGAACAACCCAGGAAATTGCAAGCCATCTGCTACATAGAAAAGTACTAGACCACTTATAAAATATCATTGTGCAACTGCAGACTAACCTCGTCAAGAGCTAGACAGCTTTCAGTAGCCAATTACCAATAGTGAATATTATAATGATCATTTTTTTTTTACAAAACTATTTTACTTCATCACTGGGCTCTTTATAAGAAAGAGCTACAACAATTGAAGCCAGTGTGTCATATCTCCTGAAAATAACCATGTTTAATATTGAAACTGAAGCACTTGCAATTAAACCAGAGTAGGTTTGTTCTTCGATTCAGTTGATACTGGAATCTCAAAATCTAGGGGGTTTGACAGAGCCTTGCTATTTTGAATGAGTCTTGAATATTTGTGGAGTGTTTTACATGGATACTCACATTATTTCAATAGTATACTGAACAATATTCACTTCACAGAACCATAGTCTCCTGCAATGCTACCGCTTGATAAGCCTTGTGCCAATAAAGTTACCAATCATCATCTTGACAATAGATCTTTCCATATGCTGTGCGATAAGATGAAGGTAGATATTAGGAACTCAAGTCTTTGGCACTATTTTATAATAATAATAATCCTTGCATTGGATATAGCGCTTTTCACGTCGGGAGGACGTCCCAAAGCGCTTCACAGAACACACTGTAAAGTGAATTGACTGTATATTCGTGGGCAAACGCAGCAGCCAATTGCGCACAGCAATGTCCCACAGTCGTAGATTGAAAATGAACAATTTTTATTATTGTTTTTGGTTTTGGAGGGATTATTATTAGGCTCTGTGTGGAGTAAGGAAACTTGCCCAAGGTTTCGCCCTCTGCCTGGAATTGAACTCAGGTCTCTCACTTGCAAAGCGAGTGCTCTAACCACTGAGCTACAGGACTCCACTTTGACAGAACACTTACCATCCTCATTCTTTGCAAGACTTCAAATCTTCGCAATTCTCTATCATACCTCATATTCCTTGAATGTTAGATTTTTTGTGCAATTTTATTGGTTAGTGTAATGTACCAGTGCTCTTGTTGGTTCTTTAGCCTCACTGCTGGTCTCCTCCAGGCAAATAAAGCCTGCCTGAGATGAACATTTGATGCAGGAAAATTGAGAAAGATTGTCAGATTGTTCAGCACATGAATTAACCTGAATTTCCCTATTTACCCCCATTACATGGCAGCAATTCAAAAGTATATGTCGGTTCAAAAAAAAAGAAATATGCATAATTTTCTAGCAAGTTCAAATGTTAATAAGCTTCTTGCAATATTTAGACAGAACCATGTGATTAATTGTAAAAATACTGCCAGTACCACTATAAATTGGTAGACAGGATTGAACAGTCTCAGTGAACAAGGCAACCATTTCATTTATATACACAGTGCGTGAAAGATTAATTCATTTGGGCTTATGAAATTGGATATTTTGCTATTCTGGTATATTTTTATTTATACTAAATTGTAAGGCATCTTTTACTTTGTTGATTCCAGCCTTAAAATCTGTTTTAACTATTTCATACTCTTGCATCATTGGCAACATCCACAATAGCTACTATTCATCTCAGTGATTCAAGGCTTTATCCAGACCTATATGATAAAGGAGATGCAATTGAGATGCACTGAGGCCCCCAAATAGTCCACTTTTTCTTTTCAGATTGGCTTGCAATGGAGAGAGCCAGAGACCAACCCAAAGTCTGAACCCAAAATATGTTCAAACCAAGGCAGATTTTTTTTTTGGCCAGCCATGTGTTTGACACATCCAGAAACCAAGCTGAAATTTTCCATAGATCCCACCTATGTGTGGAAACCCTACAAATAGATTGTTGGAATGAAATGTGCACTCTCGACCTGGAGGGACACATCCTGCTTACCTAATTCAGGAAAATATTAGGCGCAGGTTAGCAAGAGTTAAGGATTAGAAACCCAGAGTGTGCTGGAGTCTAACTTGCTGAAACCACATAGCTTTCCATTGATACTGTTGTATGGCAAGCGTTCTCACTGCTAGGACCACCCTACCCGTTAGGGCTTTGGCTTGCCACAGACTCACCTGCCTCAGGAACCAGACTACCAAGACCGCCACAAACTCTTGGCTCGATTTTGACATTCCATTGCCAGGCATGTCACCTTGTAGCATGTTCAGCTCCAAGGAGACCCCACCTACCTCTCCCCCCATGGCGGATACCCTTGAACCCAGAATACAGTCACAAAGAGAAATGCACAGAAAATAACCCTCAGAGCCATTACTCAAATGTGTAAAAAATGTAAGATGACAATCTTTAATTTATATTTTTNATTGAAATTTAAACATACAAAGAGAACAAAAGACAACAACTAGATTATTTAATACAGGCCAAGAACATTCAATAGGCTGGACAATAGCGATTACAATTAAACTACAAAGGAAAAGAAACAGAGGTAGTGTGAGCTCTTCCAGCATGGCTTTCAGAGAAAAAACAATGATTATATTTGATTATAGGGCTTTGAAAAAAGTCAAGGAAGTGGACCAATATCCTATAATCAACTGTTATAAGTATTTATAAGTCACCTGGCAATTCAAATGGGAAGAATTGTTGGAAGGATTCTTCTAGATCTAAGATTATAAAACATGTCAAAGAACCATTTTCCATATCAACAGTTTACTAAGTTTAGCAAATAAGGTTATAATTGGTCAAAATCTGTGCAGATCTTGTAAAATAAAACTTCCTATCTATTTAGCATTCCCATCATAAGCCATCAAAAATTAAATACCTCAAGCAAACATACTTTTGTAATGTTAAATTTCACTGATCAAAGTTGTGGAATTCAGAAAGAGCACCACTATTTAACCTCTTGCCTCTGAAAACAAGGCACACTATCTAAGCAATGTTTATCAGTCTGCGGATATTGAAAGCTTGGGAGAAGATAAAATCAACCTGGCCTTGCTGGCTGGCAGCTGCATTGTCCACTCAACATCAATAATTTTTTATGAAATTAAGAAACATAAATGTTTCAAATGAATGGTATAAAAAGAATAAAACCCAACTGAGAAGAAACTCACTTGGGTTTTGTTTCAGCATCTGTCACTTGACGAATGTAGATACTGTCCTCCAGATGGTCAATTTCACCCATTTCATACATGTATGAGGATGCTATAGCAATGGCAGAGCCATCATTACTGAAGGCAAGTGATGCAATACTAGTTGGGTAGCGATGAAACTGACACAACCTCTTTTTATTGAAGGGATCCCAGATATTCACAAATCCGTCAGATCCACCTGTAGTAAAGAAAGTGAAAAAGAAAAATGTAGTTTACAGAAATGTACCAGTTACATATTTAGGTTTGGGAAGCAACGGTTTTGCAAAATTCACAAAAAAAATCAACAAGTTGATCAATGAATCGGATGATGGCAGGGGCCTTGAGATTCCAATCTGCCCCCAGTACTGTATTTAAAACAGTTGCTGCAGTGTAATACAATAGTTATTTACAATTTACAAACATTCCAGAGTTAAAAGGACTCCTTGCAAAACCTTTGAATACGAACTCCATATTGTAGTTCAGCCTATTTCAAAGTTATTAGCAATCTTGCTTTCAATATCTGATAAAGGCATCCATACTTATGTTTTCGAGCCATTAAAGTAAATTGATAAATACAAAGCAACTGTATTATGTCTGGATCCAAAAACTTTACAAAAAAGTACTCCAGAAGTCTTCTATGCAAAAAGAGTGAAATAATCCCCCCCCTCACCAAAAAAATCTTTCAATGCTTGGAGGTCAAAACAGTTAATTAGCTAGAACTACATTGTCCAACCACTAAGGAGATGCACTTCACCTAAACAGCTTTCTTTCCGCATAAAACCATAGAGTAAATTTAATCATTTTCAGCACACAATGCTTCAGAAAATTCTGCTCTACAAGCGTTCCCATGGAAACTCCACAGCCAATGTCTTCTGTCAGCTGTATCTAGATCAGATTAGGCTACTGGTAGGTCCATCACAATTGCATGCTATTTTAAATAGCTTTTGGTTTAGAAGCCGAGCATAAATAGGATATTTGCTTCATTTCTTCCAACAACAGTACAAAACTTAATAATACACATTTAGCTTACCTTTCCACAAAAGCACACACAAGTATAAACACACACACCCACAATAGAATCAGGAGCTAGCAACTGGGGGATTAAGAAATCTCTGCACCAGAACCACCTAGACCATCACAGCTTTCCTACAAGACTGGACCAACTTCAAGCAGTTGAACATTAAATCAAAAAACACTTCCCACACAAGTTCATAATTTCTTCTAAATTTTAATTCACCAATCCAATATTGCTTATCTATATCTTACCTGTAGCAAATGTGTTGTGAACACTGTGGAATGAAATAGCATTAACTGGATAGATCTGTTCAAGGTTGTTTTCCTTTAATCTGTGACATTTAAAAGCATATTTTTTCTTTTGCACCTCTGGACTAGGGTCCAAGTACTCCACTGCAACACGTCCTTCAATTGAACTTAGAACATAACCCTAAACAAGAAAAAAACAATTAAACGCTTGTAGTAAGCCCTGAAATTCCCCTTTGAAGGAAAATCATTTTCCAGGGAACAAAATCTACAATTGAACAAGTTAACATGATAAAAAAGTTAGTCAAAACAATAATTGATATCAGCTCCTATTTTCCACTTGAAATTTAGTGAATGATCACATGAAGCATTTTCCTTTTCAAATTTTAATCAGCATATAAAAGCTGGAGCAAAGCGGATCTATTCTCGTCTTCAGACTAATCTAAAATACATCTTTTACAAATCTGGCAACCACATTATAATGTGGTCCTACATCTCATCCGGCATTATAAACACTACAAATAGCTTCATCAGGTAGCAATACTGCTTCATCAGGTCGCCATTGATGCAACTTCCTGAGTGCAAGAAGCACTGCTGAGGTCACTTCCTTACTTCTTTAGTGCAGGAAGCTGACTTGTCAGCACCAGAGGTAGGGATGTTATAACGGGGTTGTCCGTTAGCCTTTCCCTGGATGGGGTAATCAATACCAAATCAGGGGTTTCATCAGTGTTAATAAGAAGCTAATCATATTCACTGGAACTGATACAAGAGGCATTGCCTCAAACCTGTTCAAGCATGGCCATGTGCTTAAAGAGAAACTTGGTTAAGGAAATTGTTTCAAAGCCATCCAATAAATAGATTAAAGCAATTTTCTCCCTATATTTCTTGGAGCCAAATACAAGTAAAAAAATTGCCAACCAGGCAAGTTCCTGACGATTCTATGCCCAAGAGCCTTGTACAAACAAAGATCAGAAAACCCAATCAGTACTGGGCTATTGCAGTTGCACCCAGGGGACACTTGCATCACCTGGGCACTGCAAATGGTGAGCAGATTTGTAGCAGGAGGTGAATGTGGGAATCTCAAAAGGCCCAAATGCCTTCATCCCAGCCTTTTGTTCAACTTCAAACATTGCTCAATCAATATTGTTTCTTGGTGCTCCTATGACCAGTCCTTACCAATTACAATGTTTGAACCTTGGATCTTTTTACTTTGTTTACTAAAATCATACCATGTGATACATTTAACACATTAAGAGTAGCAAAAAAGAGTGGGATTGGCAGGGTTCCCATGAGTTTCCCTGAGCTGCATAACATTCACTCTTTGAATACCTGTTTATTTGGAAATGCTCTAATGCAGCGAGTCTGATACTTTAGACTAGACTCTCTCCTCTGTTGTACGTATCCCATATTCCTCAAGTCCCAGACAAGTACACGGCGACTAGCAGTTCCAACAATTAGACGTTCTCCAGACACAGAAAGAGTGTACACCTAAAAAGAACAAAAAACAGTTTTAAGAGTCTTCATTTAGGTACTGAGTCCGACTCAGTTTGGAGTATTCTCGCCTCCGAGTCAGAAAGTTGTGGGTTCAAGCCCTACGTCAGGACTTGGAACTCAAATAATCGAGGCTGACATACATTATTGTGCTGACATATAATAATAATCCTTGCATTTGATATAGTCCTTTTCACGTCTTCTAGACGTCTCAAAGTGCTTCACAGAATATACTGTAAAGTGAATTGAATGTATATTTGTGGACGAAATGCCCACATGTAGCCCACATGACGAAATACCCACATGTAGCAGCCAATTGCAGCGAATGCAGCAGCCAATTGCGCACAGCAACGTCCCACAAACAGTTGTGGATTGAAGTGACCAATTTATTACTGTTTTTTTTCTTGACGGATTATTATCAGGCGTGTGGAGTAAGGAAACTTGCCCAAGGTTTCACCCTACCGGGAATCAAACCCAGGTCTCTCGCTTGTGAGGCGAGTGCTCTAACCACTGAGCTACAGGACTCCTCAACGTACAGCACTGAAATGTAAGCAAAATAGCTAGTCATTTGAAAAAAACAATTTAGCAATTCAAACACATATTATGACTCACACCTAATAAAATTACTTAATTTTGTAACAAGAGAATAATGCATATACAGTTTACTAGTCACCGACATCATGCTAATCATAAACACGCTTATGGTTTCATCAACCCCGAGGAATATTCTACAAAAAGCCACTTACTGTCTTCTTCCAAAAAAGTGTCAAACTTAACAAACTTTACAGCTTCAACTCAAATAGTCTGGAGTACACAGAAAGCATCTAATAATGTGGAAATCGGCAAAGCAAATAGGAAAAAGTGCAAGAATTCCAGATATATTCATAGTTCTTCTGTGCATCTGTACAGGCTGCAGGGCAACAGGAAGCAAGGCTGTAAGAAAATCTCTGTGGCTTCATAACAGAACATAAACGTGGTCAGATCTCCATTCATCAGTTCTGCCTTGTGATCCACTTACCAGCATTTGTTACATTGGTAGTATAGTAGAGTTGCGGAACTTTGTCTCATTCACATTAAACATATATAGCTAACTACTAAATAATTTAAAAATTTTAAGTGTATATCAGTTTATTTTACATTGACTGTAGTTATCTTCACACATTCTCAAACATAAGAGTGAGGCTTGGTCTTCTGTGTGCTGCATTTAAACTGCATTTTCGACCGTCTCTTTGATCACCTTCCTCCCCCTCCCCCTGGCTCGGCCCCGGGATCTGTTACTGTAAAGCGCTCTGAGATGCCGTCCAGCGTGGAGAGCGCTATATAAATCCAAGTTGTTGTTGTTGATATTGTTGTATCACTGAAATGCAGGGCTACATTATAGAATAAACTCATTACAAAGTTATATGCAGTATAAAAAGAGACTATCAAATTTGTAGTTTATTGAAACTGATCAAATTAGCCTTTATAACTCACATATTCTTGAGATGGAAATTGTGCAACCCGATTATTCTGGTCTTTCTTTTTAGTATGCGGCATACGTCTAACCATTTTTAATAAATTAACAACTAAAGCCACTTACAATTAAGCCTGCACATTCACCCTTATACCCCTAACAGAAAAGCCAGCAGCTAGCTGTCGTATACATATTAACAGCTTTTAATCTTTTTGCTGAAGCTTGTAATTCAGACCAATAGTTTAAACAATTCATAATGCATGCCATTCTTTATAAATATTGGCTGTCAGGTACTTTCTGTATTTCGAGTGTGATCTTCCCAACTCCTGAGCACTCATAAATCAAATAATAGAGCCGATGGGTCATGCAGATTCTGCCAGTCGACTCTGCACACATTCATCAGTAGAAGTATTACTCACTCAGATAAAAACCTGATGACATAATGAACCTCACTGAACCAATAAACAGCTTCATCGACAATGCCTGTCTGTTCCACTCCATTCTGTCACAGATTCATCACCAGCTCTTGCAACGTACAACATGCCATAAATCATATCCTCATTCACCACAACTCATTTTCTCTGAACTAGGGTCTTGCTAAAAATTGGGTTAAGAGTAATGGGGTGGCTAACATGGCCACTTAGTAGATAATGTAGTTATACAGCAGTAATAGGGTGCTTAAGGTGAACATTTAACTGTCCAATATACAGTATATCTATGTTACCTCTTAAGTATAACCACAAGAATTGAACTGCTACCTATAGGCTTTAATTTCTCCAAGTTAACCAAGACTATTCTACTTGGTTAAAGTCAACAAAAGATTTACTCACAGTATATTTACCTCTAAAAACCTTATACTGCCAGCAGATTGAAGAAAAATCCCACCTCTCAGAGCGAAACAGTTCTGCATATTTTCAGCTCATGCACTGAGTCGCTGAAAATGATTACAGTAATAGCTCCTCAAAATCAGAAATAGCTTATTACTGCAATATTAACCCCAACACATTTTAAATAAAATTAAAAAAAATTTCAAATACTACAGTTTCTCCTGTATAATCCTCTTCCAATCCCACAGCTCATTCACCTTTTTTCTGCCCCATTGTTTTCTACTTTTCCCTTAATTAATTTATCTTTCATGCTTTATTTTTATTTTTCAACTTTTTATTTCCTACCATGTATTCTGGAAATAGCAGCAAAATGTTTTTTTCAAAAATATAAAAGGTTCTGAATAGCTAAAAGCTATAAGCCAATTTTCCAGCCGGTTAAAAGCTTGTTAAACAGCATGTAATTCTGCAATAGTAATGTTTCACGTCCGATGAGTTTAGACAGTCATAATGCACAAAGTGTTAACTCTCTTCATTCAATAATGAAAATTGTTTAGCATCATGTGAATTGTTATTTTAAAAAATAGCATGCAAAAGTATGCAATTTCACACCTCTTTCATCTTCAACTATTACTATATTTTCAATTTGTATTTTATTTAACAAAATACAGTGGAAATTGCAGATTGTCTTCTATAAAGTACATAAACTTCAGAAGTGGAGCCAAATACTAGAGTAAATTAGGGGAACCATTCAGGTTTCTTCCCATCAACTCAGCACGTTCATACTTACCCAGTTATCAATATGGAAAATAAAATTAGCAACAAATATGCACACGGGAAGGAGAGGAAATGGGAAAATATAAAGCAATCTGAAGGCCACAGTAAATTAATCTCTATTCTTACTCAGTTATTCTCTGTGGAAAAGAGGTTGGTTGTCAGGTATGAAATGAACTGTACTTTATTTGAAAATTAGCCAGATCTTTACAAGCAATAGTATTACATACCCTTTCTGGTTGGGCAAATGTCCCAGCATTGCAAGGTGTTCTGGGATCCCACAATTTAACTGTCTGATCCCAACTTCCCGTCACCATTACATTCACCTCTGGACAGTATTCAACGCAGCGGATTGGAGCATCATGTGAGCCCACAACAGATTCTGCAAAAAAATATATAATTTATATCATAAAGGAAACTGAAAGCAAGCAAATGATTTTCAGGCTACAATTCTAAGAAGTCAAAGCACAGGTTAAAAAATAAGACCAGAACATAAGAAATTTCACTTATAGGATTAGAGGTTTCTGGAGGCTCCTGAAGGAGAAACTGCTCCCAAAAAACAAAGAATACCCCTATAATTTCTCCATCTTCTCAGAAATAAAAATCTTAAAGTAAGAGGATACCAAGGATCCCTGAGGAATTAAGTTGTTCTTGCACTTTGAAAACAAAACTATCAAGCGAGTGCTTCTGAATATTGTTATTGCAGTTCGTGAGGAACAAGAGAAGAACACGGTATTACTGATGAAATAAGGAAATAAAACAAATAAACACTTTTGAAGAAAGTAGGTAAAATGACTGATCCAATTAAATAGTTATTTTGAGTCAAAGATACTTAATGTTTAAAAGCTATTAAATTATTAAGATTGTATATTTGGACAAGCTACAGGTATAATCCATACCATACCTGCTGACATCTTACATAACGCATTTAATACTCATTGCTCCTTTCTTGTGCCACAAAAATATATTTTCCTTACCTTGGTCCGTGTTTAAATCATGCATTTTAAGTGAAAGGTCCAATCCACCACTCCAAGAATGTGTCGGATCCTATTTACAAAAAGAATAAACAGCACTCATAAACAAAATTACAAATATACTACTTTTAGTTTTGCCCTCTAGAACAAATACAATGTTCTCACATTTGCATTAAAAGAATATTAGATTTTCTTTGGCAGACTGACTTTGCTCATGTAGATTGTGAAACAGTAATAAAGTTACTCCAATTTAATGCATAGCTCTATTGTTGTAATTTTAACCCTAAAGGCTAAAACACAACAGAACTCTAAAAATACAAATACTAATTATGTTTATTGAGGGAGGGGTTGAACCTGTACCGAGGAGACATGCCTGAAGAAGATAGGCAAATCCATAGTAATCCAAGGTGTATGTGTCAACATCAATCAAGGTGTAGTTCTCAATCCTGCACAATTGAAGCATACACCAGTGCATTGTACTAGTAAAATACGTGGTAAAAAATATAGTTAGTTATCCCATTATCAAGGACCAACACAAAGAATTCCTAGTAAGTGTAACTTAAAGCTCAGCAAATGATGGTGGCATGAATATTCCTCAATAACCCGAGGCAGTGCAAGACCACCTGTGTTTTGCAAGTCAGATGAGCTATTTGTCTAGAACTAATCGTCATGAAACAAGCAGAGAATGTTTTCTCTCACATCAAAGAGAGAATTGGTGCCAATATCTTAAACAGTGGTTAACTGAAATTAATAAGTTTCTTACATGAAAAGCACAGTCCAGGACAGCTGCTGAATGCTGATATTTTAGCCGCATGTTGTTCGAAGTGATGTCATACAACCGGACAGTAGAATCCCAGGATGACACCAACAGGAACTGAGAGGTATTGGGACTGAATTTAATTGCTGAGATCCCATCTTCAGGACACTGATTAAGCTTGAATTCATTTGAGCCAGTCATCTGAAAATAAAGCATGAAATATCAAGAATCTCATTCTCCATTAAAAGACTGATAGTCAGCTTTCAGGAAACGTTAAAATCATCAACAAGGGGATTTGCAATGACCAGCATGAGAGGAAGAGAGAAGCAGACCTTCATTTAATCTAAGCAAAACTACCGCAACTTAATATTTATTCTTCCTGATTATACCGTATAAAAACAAACAGGTAGAGTAAAAAATTGTTATTGGGTAGGGTGCTTAGCTCCAATCAGCATAGGGCCAACAGCCTCCTATGCTGGAATTTCTATGAAGTATAATTAAAGACCAGTCAAGTTCTTTTTATTGACAAAATAAAACCACCAAGTAACTTTCAGGGCATTTATGTCAAAAGCAGAAGAAAACCATGGGTGGTGGTAGTGGTGGTGGTGGTGAGGGGCAAGCAGAAAAGAAAAAAATTGGAGAAAACTCAGGATTTCTTTCGTAATATCTGCTGAATAGCACATACATGTGACACATGCACATTACCAGAAACAATTTACTTGCATAAATATCACATGCATATTCCTGAAACTGGTATAAGGAAAAAATACTTATGGCCATGGTTATAGCTTTTAAAACTGAAAGTGGAACAAAATAATCATAATGCAGTTACATAGTTTATGATTTCTTATCCCTCCCCACATACCCAAGTATGTACATTTTAGATGTATATTTTAAAGCTTTCATATGCCCAAAGGCATGCAAAACAGGAATTTCAATCCCTCACTGTGCTTGCTCACTATTTCAATCAGACAATACGTTGATAAATTCTCTGTCGAATAGCTTGGAAATTAGAAAACAGACCTCCGGTGAGAATTAAATGAAAACACACTAAGGGGAACTGATCACAGAAATTCAATTAAAATTAAGTGACAGCTATTCAACTTCCTCCCCAATTTGGTACAGTCAACTAAAAATCACAAGTTTTGAGCTTTCAAATGTGTTCAAAAAGATGCAAGGAAACTCAAAACTACAGGAAAAATTAAGCAAGAACTAGATTTTCCCTCCTTTTGTTGCAACAGCAAAATATATTGGGGATTAAAGAATATATTTGAAATGTTACAAATTACATTGAAATGTCTCAGAGATTCATAGACGTGTGTGTAAAGTTATTTGTAGACGTACATGGCACCCCATTTCTACAGACCAGAATCCCACAAATAGACATGAAATGAACAATTTCCTAGCATAGGGATTATTGACAAAGACGTCAAAAGAAACTCCCCTCAACATTGCAATGGGATCTTTACTGTCTACTTGATCTTGCAGACGAGACCTTAGTTTAATACCTCATTCAACAGATGGCACCTCCCACAACACAGAACTCCCCCAGCACTACATTATGGTGTCAACAAAGTCCCGATATGGGGCTTGATCCCATAACTTTCTGACTTACTGCTACCAACCAAGCCAAGCTTTCATTACAGTATACTGTATAACAAGACAAAAAATTGCCATACAGAATGAGCCGAGAACCAAACCCATCACAATTTAGTGACTTACCATTGCAAAAACATCTCATTATTGAAAGCATTTTGTACAGCTTCTATTATAATGCGAGTCACAAATAACTGAGCCACAAATAAGGTCACTCACATGTATCAAAAGTTGAAGATTTTCAAAAAGTTGTTGGAACAATATAGCTAATGAAGTCTTGCGCTCAAGGTCTGTGGCAGAGTGATTTTATGAAACATTAACAGAGGGAGAGGCAATGTGGGTGAAGGCTCGTTCACTGATGGTCAGGCGAACGGGGTGTGGGTAATGAAGCTGCCGATAGTGGACAAGTGGACGAGGCAGCAGATTTGCAGGAAATTGCAGAGATAGAGTGGTAGAAAACCCTGGAGGAATTTAAAAGAGAGGATAAGGATCTGAAAGTTGATCTTCTGGGGGATAGAGACAGTTAAGAAAGGGAGGAGATGAGTTCACTGAGCCAAGCACAGCAGAGAATAAGGGCTGAGTTAAATGATGGTCTGAAAAAATATAAGACATTTTTTTAAAAAATGTTTCTATTAGAATCTTTGGGATAGTACTATAATCACACATTAACAACTTTATATAGTGCCTTTCACGTAAAAATATCAGAAGGTTTTACAAAATATAACTCAAAAGAAATTGATATAGCGAAACACAACAGCTAATCTGCACTAGAAAAGTTCCACAAACAACGAGAAACATCCAATTAATTTGAATTTGAGGGGAAAATTGGATTAAGAAGGGAATTTAGCCAGGATAACTAGGAGAAAGGCTCCACATTTATTTTGAAATATCAATGGGAGGACAGTCTACTTAAATCCAACTGAATCACAAGACAAATGGAACCCAAAATGAACAACAAATAGGATGATAAACTGAAACCCAAATTAAATCCACATTAATAATTTGAGAGAAACAGCTGCTAATCTATGCCAGCAATGTTCCACAAATATGATATTAAAATAGTGAAAGAAAAAGAAAATTTGCCTGAATTCTCACAAGATGAACCAGGTGCAAATGAGGACCGAAGCAATAACTCATAAGAGAAGCAACACAAATGATACCATGAGGGTTACTCCATTTTAAAAAATGGCAAGAATGTAATTTGGATACCAGATAAAAGCTAATAATATCATTGCCAGTTAACAAGATGACCGGCTTCAAACTGCATTATTTATCTTACTGTCCTGACTGAAAAGAATGAATTTCTGATTTTTGGGGGGGGGGAGCAAAAAAGGTCACAGAACTAACTAGCTGGTTACCAAAAGTACAGGTACAGTGACCATTCTTTCTGCAGAAAGAGGTTACATTTCAATTGTTATCTTTTCAATTGTTATATTGAGGAACAGAAATTGAGGCAAATCACAAGATGTGCAGTAATGTAAAGATTTCATCACCTCAATAAAGAGGGACACTTCATTCTATTTAATGGATTTGTGAAATATTGAAGATCTGTCTGGGGTGCTATGAACAGTCAATGCAGTGGAAAGCCCTGTTGAGATTCTAAAATTAAATGTTTGGGTCACCTATATTTTTGATACAAGATGCTAGCTCGTTGAACACACTTCCAACAAATATTAAAAAGCAGTAAAGTGCACAATTCAATGTTTAGGTGCTGTGTCGAATGCAAGGATTATTGTTATATACCTAAACACAAATTCAAGGAAGGTTTGGCAGATATGACATTACTGTAGTTAGCCTGAACTTTCAGCATGTATTACAGTACTATGGATGTTCATTAGCATATTTTAATGCAGTGGAAAAATTATTTTAAGTAGTGAAAAACAGAATATTTGATGACCTCTTTAAAAGTTCACAATTGAAACATAATAGTGAAAACAGAGTCTTGAAAATTTTGGGACAATTTCATAGGAACTAGGAGCAGGAGTAGGCCATTCGACCCCTCGACCCTGCCCCACCATTTAATAAGATCATGGCAGATCTTCTAACCTAACTCCATCTGCCCGCCTTATCACCATATCCCTTAATCCCTCTATGCTTTAGAAACCTATCAACCTATCAATATGTTCAATGACTGAGCATCTACAGCTCTCTGGGATAGAGAATTACATAAGTTCACTACCCTCTGAGTGAAGAAGTGTTTCCTCAACTCTGTTCGAAAGGGCTGTCCCTTAATCTTAAAACTGTGACCCCTAGTTCTCGATTCAGGGGAAACAGTCATGCACTGTCTACTCTGTCAAGCCCCATAAGAATCTTATGTTTCTATAAGATCACCCCTAATTCTTCTATATTCTAGAGAATATAGGCTAGTTTACTCAACCTATCCTCAGAGGTCAACCCCCTCATCCCAGGAACTAACCTAGTGAATCTACACAGCAAGTATGTCCTTTCTCAAATAAGGAGACTAAAACTGCACACAATATTCTAGGTGCGGTCTCTCCGAGTCCCTATACAGTTGCAGCAAGACTTCCCTACTCTTGTATTCTAACGCTTTTCCAATAAACGCCAATATGCCATTAGCCTTCCTAGTTGCTGCTGTACCTGCATACTAACTTTTTGCGACTGGTGTACAAGGACACCCAAATCCCTCTGAACACTAACACCATCTAGTCTCTCCCCTTCTAGAAAATAATCTGCTTTTCTGTTTTTACTATCTATGTGATAACTTCACACTTCTCCACATTATATTCCATCTGCCACCTTCTTGCCCACTCACCTAGCCTATTCATATCCCTTTGCAATTGTTTTCTGTCATCCTCAGAGCTTACTCTCCCACCTAGCTTAGTATCATCCACAAATTTAGATATTTTGAGTTCTATGTCGTCTAGATCATTAATATAGATTGTGAATAGTTGAGGCCTAAGCATTGATCCTTGTGGCACTCCACTAGTCACATCTTGCCAATCTGAGAAGGACCCATTTGTCCCCACTCTATGTTTTCTTCCCGTTAGCCACTCTTCGATCCATGCTAATATATCGCCTTTAATTCCATGTGCCCTAATCTTGTGTAGCAGACTTTTATGTGGCATCTTGTTGAATGCCTTCTGAAAATCTAAATATACTACACCTGCTGGTTCCCCTCTATCTAACCTGCTAGTTACATCCTCAAAAAACTCTAAAAGATTTGTTAAGCATGACTTCCCTTTTGTAAAGCCATGTTGACTCTGCCTAATCATGGTATGGTCCTCTAAGTACCCTACTACCACGTCCCTAATTAAGGATTCTAGAAATTTCCCTACCACTGATGTCAGATTGACTGCTCTATAGTTCCCCATTTTCTCTCTCCCACACTTTTTAAATAGTGGTGTTACATTTGCAACCTTCCAATCAATGGGACCGTTCCAGAATCTAAAGAATTTTGGAAGATCAGACGCAAGGCATCCACTACCTCAGCGGCCACCTCTTTCAAAACCCTAGTTTTAAAACGTAATTTTTTTAAAAAAATGTTTTGGGTCAGCCATGTATCTGGCATATGTGGAAACCCATCACCATTCTTACGCGTTTCCAAACGAGACTGAGTACCATCTACACATGGACATTTTCCTGTAATTTTAATTTATAAATTATAGTGCAATTTTAATTTGTAAATAAGAGGAAATGCCTCCAAGTTGACATTTTTGGCAGTGGAATTGTCAGAATCCAGCCAACCCTTGGTAGCTAGTAAGAAGAATCGCTTCTCCCAGTGACTGGTTTTGCCAACACAAATCTTGATAACGAGCCGCAGGCTGGGCTGGCGTCAGCAGTGCCCTGGAGTACTGTAACCCCCACCTAACTCGGGAAATGGACAAACAAGACCACTGCAGAATTGACTCTTCCCAGTCAAACAAATTATTTTGGGGTTGGCCCACCTTTCCTCCCTCCCCGATGAGACAATACTGCCAAACCTATCACCTGGGTGACAAGCAGCCAAGAAAGAGGTCAGCAGTCAGTCAGTCAGTCAGGCTGCAAGCTGCAACAAACACGGTGACCGCAGCCACACTTTACATGTATAGCTTCCATTGGGCATTATTGTTTAATGGGCATTAGGAAAAGGGTTGAGGGGCGGTTTGCAACTGTAGCACAGCAATGCCGAAGTGATCATGCACAGCAACTATGAAGCGTGTCAACAACAACAAGATTCCATTTATAGAGCGCCTTTCACGTCGGGAGGACGTCCCAAGGCGCTGAACAGTTGGGTCGGGACCCGAGCAGTGGGGGAAATGGTGAGGGGAGGGAAGGGAGGGAGCGAGGAGGGGGGAGAGAGTCGAGAGGGGAGCTGAAGGCACGGCTGAAGAGAAAGGTCTTGAGACCGGCCTTGAAGGAGGAAAGGGAGGAGGCGGCGAAGGCACTGGGGATGGAGTTCCAGAGCCTCGGGGCTGAGAGGCTGAAGGCCACCGATGGGGCGGGCGGTTGGTTCGGGGGATGTGGAGCAGACCGGCGCCAGAGGAACGGAGGGTACGGGCGGGTACGTAGGGGGATAGTAGGTCGGAGAGGTAGGAGGGAGCGAGGCCGTGAATGGCCTTGTAGGTGAGGATGAGGATCTTGAATTGGATCCTCTGGGGGATGGGGAGCCAGTGGAGGGGAGCGAGGGCGAGGGCGGGAGTGATGGGGTCACGAAGTCTGGTGCGGGACAGTACACGAGCTGCAGAGTTCTGAGCAATGCTTTATACGGCGTGAAATATAAACACCACGTCCAACCGACGTTTGGATTACATCCTGATGGGATATATATAGATATATATATATCTATATATATATAAAATGCAGCAAAAGATACATTTTCATGCCGATTCGAGTCTCTTTGGGGAAAAAAAACGAACCAACAGAATCCGTTTGTTCTGTAAATTCACGTCTTTTTCGACACACAAAAACCGCTGTAATTGTGCGGAGCGCCTGAGGTTGTCACCGTATTACAATTAGACAGGTTTTATCTTATTATTCCTGAAGACTTCCGCTCAGGTCCCTCCCGGAGGTCGAAAAGCCAGGCCGCGGGTCCGGATATCCCCGGCCTCGGCCTGACGTCCATATCCTGCCGACAGCTCGCTGAAGCCTGGGGCCTACAGGGGCAACCTCGTCCCGGGGCCGCGGCCGCCACCCCAACAGCAGCTGCGCTCCGAGCTTCCGCGCCGTCGACGACGGCGAGCCGCCGAGCCCGGGTCGGGAAAGCGAGGGAGAAGGGAGGGGTGGAGCGGGTATACATTTTTTGGCGGTGAGGGGGAGAAAATGGCAATTAAAAAAAAACACTCTCAGGCGAAACCGCTCCACGTTAATGGTTGGAAAATAGATGTTACGGCCGTTTGTTCAGCGCTTCGAACTGAACCGCCGGCCGAGGCCTCACCTCGCGCTGCCGCTCCGCCGCCGCCGCCGCAGTTCGGCTGTCGGTTTTTTTTTAAAAATTGAAAAAAAAAATCGTTATTTTTCAAAATCGCGGAAACCGCTCGTTCCGCCGCTTCCACCTCGCGCTGCGGTGCCGGCGCCAAACTCCCCCTCCCCACCCCCCCCCCCGACCCGACCCACCACCTCGGACCGCCTCTCGCGGTTGGTCCGTTTGAATTACGTCACGGCTTTGAGTTTCGCGCGCAAGAGCTCGGGGGCGGGAGGGAGGCCGGTGGTGTGACGTCAGGCGCTCTGCTGCCGCGGGGCGGGGCGGATGACGTGTGCGTGTCACGTGATCCGCGTGCACTTGCTGCACACAGGGGGGGGTCCCCCCTCTCCTGAAAGCTGCAAAAAGCTCTGAAATGTCTTCAATTCATAAAGATGCAGGAAAGAAATCCCCCCCCAAAAAAAAACAAACACATCCTTACTGTCTATAAGTATGAAACCCTAAAGCGCATTTGAATAAAAATGTTCTTTTTTTGCAAAAAAAAAGGAAGGGGACAATAAAAAAAAACCTTTGGCTGTTCCAACAGGTCGCTCAATGCAGCGTGTTAGGTCCTGTCGGAATAAACTTGCAATGGCAATCATGTTGTGGTCAGTGCAGTGTTCACTGGAGATGCGCTGTGGTCCTGGCAGGAGAGGGATTGTTGTTGTTGTTTTTTTTGGTGCCCAGGCAATCCAGGGATGTGCAATGCCTTTCCTTACTGGCTGGCACGTGTCAAAAAAAAGTAATGCAATTAAAAGTAAAGTGATTAAAAGTAAATGGGTAAATGCATCATAGGGTGGGTTTTTGTCCAGGTGAGATTTTATCGAGTTTCCCGACGTTTCACCTACTGTGCTTGTGATCCAGGGCCTCGTTAATTAAACGTATTGTGATATTGTTGACGCTGTTCGCGACATGTGAATGCACATATTATTTACTGCGTTGTAAATGTGTCATTGATGTGCTTTGGTTACATTCTGAACCGTTTCTTTGTCGTGCAATTCGATTTGTGATTTTGTTCGGTCAATGTATCTGTGCCCTCCACTTCTTCCTGTGAGAAAGTCATTTTGATCAATTCAAATAAAGAGTTAATTAATTCAATTAATTCAGTATTAATTCAAATAAAGAGTTTTGAAATATCTTCTGAACGCATCGCGAGCCATTGCCACATATTGGTGCGTATTATATGTTTGAGATTTTTTTTTCTAAAAAAAAAACACTTCCAAGGAAATCAGTGCAATTGTTTCACTGCAATGCTTAAAACTTGCCGCGGCATAAAGTTCTGCTCATACCTTGAATTTAACTGAGGAGTTCCCCCATTAAAATTTTGCAAAGGACGTTTCACAGCGCAAGTAGATGAAAAGTACACGACTTGCGAGTCAGGCTTTACAACTGGAAGGAAAAGCAGGAATTTTGCAAGTACCGTTAAAACATCTGTGTGGTGCAAACCCCGTCGTGTTCTCAGTTTGGAGAACTGTCTCATTGGAATCTGTTATTCCGAACAACAAGGACTTACTGTCCGACATCTTCGAAATTTGTCTCCACTGCATCTTAACCTTTTTTCGTTTTAAAATGAACGAATGCACACAGAACTTCTCATCTGAAGGGTTTGCCAATGTTAACTGCGGGGGCTGGGGGTGGGGTCTAAAGTGATTTAAGTCTATCGGTTTCAAACTCCACTGTAGTGTTACTCAACCTATGGGTAGAAATTCTGAAATAAATGGCACAGAGGTATACAAAAAAACACACACACAGTTCCTTTAAAGTAACATCCGGCATCGCTGCACAGTTGATGTAAATGTCACCAGAGGTAGGAAGTGATATCTGCTTTCACACTGAAACACGTTTTAATGCAGAGTTGGCCCCAGTAAGAGTTACTACAGCATTGTGCAAAACCCTGAATTCTTTCCCCAGTGTTGCTGGAAGGTGACAGTCGTTCTCTCTGTCTGACAGAGATGCACGTGTGGAAACTATTTTCTATATATTATATATTATCCTAGGTTTATTTTCGTCGATAAATGTACCTTGCCACAGTGAACCAAGTGCTGGTCTGCGCTTTCATCAGAGCCCCCTTGAGACCGAAAAAAGCGTGCAACGTAAAACCTGTTGAAGAACCAAGCGGTGTAACTGGTTAACACTACATAATTTCGGGAGCGTCTGATTGCGTTTGAATAAAATAAAACGTCCGCTAACCCCAGCGAGTGGCAGTGGCAAACGTGCGGCGACAAAACGATTAACATTTTTGCACGAGGGAAATTGTAAAAACGTCAAAAACAGGACTCATTTGCTTGATCCGCTACGTTAAAAAAAAACACACATTTTTCCTTTGATTAAATACCTTCTGCAATGTCGGATGCACAATAATGAGTGGCATCTCGTAGGATTTTGGGTCACCAAAGGTCATTAAAATGCAGACTCGCCTCTGTTCTGCTCTTTAAGACTCCCCATTCGATTCGAAAGGACGTTCAAATACCCTTCTCACATGTTTGCAACTGAGCCGAACAGAGCGAGCAAAGGTATTTGACATAGTGTGTAAAAAAAATGCTGCTTCTCCGTGATTTTTTTTTTACCCAAACGGTATAAATCAATCTTACCTTTTACTCGAAGTGTTACTCTAAAAAAATGATGATTCGCAGATCTAAAGTGCCACATTTAACAACAAAGCAACATATTTAAGACGAGGCCTCTTTTTTTTATTTGACTTTTGTTAACGTTTTATGTATTTTTTTTTAATTGGGGGGGAAATCGTCCGTCAGGAACCCATAGACGTGAGGGTACTGTTACGACTCGTGGCAGTTACAATCCTTTTTCCACGAAAGGAGTTTCAAATTCTACATTTAAATATAAACGAAAACAGTTGATGCAAATTCCTTGGAAAGCCTCGATCGTGTGTGTCTAACTGACTCCCTTCCGCACTTGTCATGTTTGTAATTATAGGGCTGTCTCTCTGTTTCGGATTCCAATGTATTTATTTACACCATCGAAACAAAAGCATCTTTAAATAGGCAGGAGATGTGATACAGGTTTGTCAGAACTGTACGCTGCAACATTACACAAGTCCCCCCCACCCCACCCCCGAAAAATACCATAATCACTGTTAAACATAATTACTTCTGGTGCTGTTTGCTTTGCAATATCCCTCCATTTAAAAATCAACCGATGTGCATAGTTGAGGGCGAATAGTTCTGACCTGGAAGAACTATTGCCACTCATTAAGAATGAATCAAGAGAGTTCTGGTGGATAAAGCTCAGCAATGTGCCAATTCGAAAGTATAACATATGCATTTCCCCGTCCACCTACACATTAAGAAACATACTTTAATAATCAGTGGGGAGGGGTTTTTTTTTTTTCTTTCATTTCCAAAATGCTCCATTTTTTTTTTATTTGAATTTTTTTTTTTTTTGGTGGTGGGGGGGGTGGGTTTGTTTGTTTGGGGTTGTTTTTTTCCCCAGCACAAACGTACCAGTCTGAAACCACGGGAAAATAAATAAAACACATTTCAAATAAGAAACTACAAAATAATCCATATATATATATATATATATATACACATATATGTATATACACACTGTGTATTTAATACAATTCGTGGAGAAAGCGCGTCGTCTTCGATAATAACTATGCAAGTCGCTGCATATAAGAAAGATATATTTTCGACAGATAACGGTTATTATATAAATATACAATTTTAAAGTGTTAAACAATTATAAAGGGGTTTGGAAAGGGGGGGGGGGAGCAGAAAAAAGGGGGTATGGGGGTGGGGGTGGGGTGGGGGGGGGGAGGGTGAGGGTCAGTATTCAATCTTGTTGTAGAGATTGTAGAGGGGTAGGGATGTGAGATTGCTCCCGGGATAGTACAGGTGAGTTGGGAAGGCGAGCGACCTGGGAACGGGTACCCGCAGCAGCGAACTGTCCCGGAAAACCAGCGGCATTCCCACCAGAGTCTGGGCCGAGGCGTGGGCCATGTTGGCGGCCTCCAGCTCGGCCGACAGCTGCCGCTTCCACTTGTTCCTGCGGTTCTGGAACCAGGTCTTGACCTGGGTCTCGGTCAGCTGGAGGCTGGTGGCCAGACACGCTCTCTCCGAGCTGCTCAGGTAGCGCTTCATGTCGAAGGTGGACTCCAGTTGGTACACTTGGCTCCGGGAGAAGACGGTGCGGGTCTTCTTCTTGGCCGGGTTCAGCCCCTGCCGGTCCCCCCCCTCCCTCTGCCTCTCGGCCGCGGTCGGGCTGCTGCTACAGGAGGAGGAGGAGGAGGTGGTCGTCGTCGTCGTCGTCGTCTCCTTCGGTTCCAGGTGGACCTGTCCATCCCGCGACGGGTACGGGCACTGCCTTCTCCCCGCGACCTCCCGCTCCGCGGCGCCCACTCCTTTGGAGGTGTCTGGAAGGGATAGACGAGGGGGAGGGGGTGGGGGGGGGGGAGGGGGGAAGAGAAAAAAATTAGGGATGTGGTCCTCAGATTATTTTTTTTTCCCCCACCACCACCACCACTCGTTTATTTTAAATGGACTCTTATCTTTTTGCGCCACGTGAACTACTTTCTGGGGGTGTTTTTATTTTTATTAAAAAAAAGAAAATCATACATCCAGTGTTGGCTATAGATGTATCGATATTATATATATATATATATATTGTGTAATAACCCTTTAAATAAACAAACAAATAAACAAACAAACAAACAAACAAAAGTTCCGGGACCTGATATTGCAGTTTGCGTTAATTTTAATAATGGAAACATGAACTGCAGAATTGATTGATTGATTGATCCATTGATTGATTGATCGACTGATTGATTGATTGATTGATCGAAAAGTCACCCCAAAGTTAACACGTAACCATACCACACAGCGGTGAACACAATTACATCTCTAACACTATGTTCCAATTAATGTGACCAATGAAAAGGTGAACAATTAAGTTTACATTTACCTCTACGTCGAATAGGTCTGAAACCTGTCTGTTTTCCCATCAACTCTGCAACAACCTCTGTACACTACAATATTGTAAATGTGTACTGAAGCTAACATCCCTTCCCTGCTTTTTTTTTTGTAAGGAACCTTTTATTTTAAAATAAAATGTATGCCTTGCCCTGTGCCCCTCCTTAATTCATCTACTCTTCCAAGGTTTTGAAAATTCCCAATGCATTACAACGAGAGAACATCTCTTCTCGGTTTGTATTATAATCTGCATCACTGCATTGTATTAAATGGATCAGTTACACACTCGATGGCCCAGGTCTCAGTGATTGCAGCGACGACAGTTTTTTTTCTACCTCCAGTATCTGGGCTCTAACATTTCTTCTGGTGTCATAGCTTCAAAATATCCGAACTGTATTTACCCAATTGCAACCGAACTTCAGTAAATGAGAGGTTCCCGGTTTGAACAAAATCAACCCTTGCGAATCACTCTTATTTCTGCAACCGATAAATCTCCATTTCACATGACTTTCTGCACAAACGCCGCTGACTAAATCCATCGAATCGAAAGTCTGTGCTTTATAACTAAAAGATTCGCTTGTGGTACGTGCTATCCACACGTGCATGTCTTTTTTTTGGAGATAGTTACACACCTACTGTACTTGCACTGCATTGTGCTGGAATTTCCCAACACATCAGCCCCCGAACTGTATCTGTAACCTATTGATCACAACGCACGACGGTGATATTGAAGCGTTTCTTAGATTTGCAGTCTACAAAGTCAATATTTTTTTTAAAAAAAAGGGGCTGAATGCAGCAGGACGACCATTGCCAAGGATGGTGAGTATGAGGAATTTTGCTTTACTTACTCACACAAGTGTAGCTGATGGCCTGGTGCCTGCGGCAGGGCTGTGTGTGAGCCGAGTCGGAGCACAAACAGCCTCGGTCCCGGTACCCCTCGTCGGTTAACTCGTCGTCCGACGACTCGGACGCACAGGGTTTCCTCGCGTTCACTCTGGCAGTGTCTTTGGCCCCCGCGCGTCCCTTCTCCGACGTGGTCCCAAGGATGGACTGGATGGTAAAGCTGGAGATCGGGGCCGGAGAGCACTTAGTGATGTCGTCTTTGTTGCTCATTCTGTGTTCTCGAGAGAGAGAGAGAGGAGAGAGAGAGAGAGAGAGAGATAGAGAGAGAGAGAGAAAAAAAACGCTTTTTTTTTTTTGTTTCGTTTTGTTCGCAAATCGGTTGCGAGAGAGAGAGAGAGAGAGAGAGAAAAAAAAATCACGTTGGGCGATTTATAGCGTCGTGGCTTCGCCGGGCAGTGGTTTTCCCTGAGCTTTTGCACAGGGCTGAGTGCATTCTCTGCCTCCAGTAAACCTGTGCGGATCTGCTGCCCAGTCACTGGCGTTGGGCTGTGATTTGCATGGAGGGTTTCAGACGCCGGAGCCAATCAAAAAGAGCAGTCGCTCCCGGAAATTTTTGAACTTTACTTACCATTGAGTGATTGTTGATGTTTGCCGCATTTAGAAATTAAACCCCCCCCCCCCCCACACCCACCCACCCACTCATCCATCCATCCATCCATCCGCAGATGGAAGACGAAATGTCGCCTTAACCGCGTGAAGGATTTTAACCCCAAGTTTAAAAAAAAAGATACTGATTTGTTGGGACTGTAGGTTTTATTCCCCCCCCACCACCCCCTGTGCGAGTTAAGTTTTATTAAACGACGGGTTTACAATGCGGGTTGTCCGCCAGTTGCGGTTATCATTGCTTAGCGAGAATCAAATCAAAGGCACGGCTGCTGGGGAGGATAACTAGTGGTACAGGAGCTCTTCTGGAGTGATGCTGTTGAGTGCTGCACTTGTTCCTACAAGTAGAACAGGTGCCCCCCAACTTGCACCAGGTGTAATGTTGTGGGCACACGATGGGTAACCGCACGTCTGAATTCCTACCAAGTGCAACGTGGGTCACAGCCGATGTGAAAATAAAATAAAATAAAATGCGGAATCTAACGCGAAAATATTGATAGACGTTTCGTCTGACAGTCAATCAATACCATTCTTTTCTACCTTCGGGTCAGTGAGTGAGTATCAGTCTGCGGGTTTAGAAAAAAAATAGGAATATTCTCTTACTTGGGCATTTTGTTAGGCCTTAATTACACTTAATGTTCTCGCCCCCTCCCCCCAATGCATTTGGTGGGTTAAGTGGGGGGTTATTATGTCTCTGGTAGATTGCCTGTGGTGCACCTTTTGAAGTGCCGCAATATTATGTCGGGTTACAGTTAAACAGTGATATTGTCATTTCAGTGGTATTGTCATTTCTGGAACACTTACTATTGAGACGCATGGCCGGTTGCAGTTGAGTTTGTATTGTGGCACACAGGGAAGGGAGGTCGCTCTGATTTCCCCCCCCCCCCCCCCGAGAAACTTGCAAGACTGTCATCATCGGAACTAATTTTGTCGATCTATATTTTGAATGGTTTGGGTTATTCTGCCTGTGGCGAGCGATGCGGCGCTTGTTGGGTGGGTGTCAGGCTGATGTGTTATTTCGCTGAGGATCTGGTCACCAGACTGTACAGTGTGTACGGTTGCCTGATCTTGTCTGGGTGTGGTTGGCTTGGCTTTGACTGATAACGAGCTCTGATTGATGTCGGAGGGTAACGTTGGCTGGAATCTGTGAATGCATTGGGGTTGCCAGGGTGTTCCCCGAGGCCCTTGAAAGCCAAGTTACTGCCAGATGGTGATCTGGTACCAGAAGGCTGAATAACTCGGGTTGCCTAACTACGGCAACGTGTGGAGAATTATTATTGTTCTGGGTACAAAATCCGGGATGCGATCAACTGCCTTGGAAAATTGTGCCACGGGTTTGGTCGAGGCTGGGGTTGGCTGAGCCGTGTCAGAAATTAGATCTTGGCGAAGAAATGGTGATGAATTGGGTCATCAGTCTGTGCTATGGGCAGAGCTGGTGAAAGATGTGAATGATGCTGACTTGGAGGTTGATTTTTTTTTTTGGATTCTGGATGCTTTTGACCTATCATCCTGGCAGCTTGTGGCCGGCGCTTGTGTATATTAATAGTGGCTTTAGCAATGCAAATCTGACCTAAAACTCAAACCAAAGCGTGCCAGCTCCAGCTGGATGGGTCAGGCACCGGGCAATTACGTTGGATGCACATTTCTTGGCGTCAGGCACGATGGCGACGCCAGGAAAGGATGCAATACGAGATCGCTGCAGACATTCAACAATTTATTGATATGACAGTGCGGAAAATAAGACAACTTAACAGACGGAATGGATGTCAGCTGCGTAAAACTCATCATTAGCATTCAATCGGACAGAGATGCATGCGCTGTGATTACCACAGCTCGTGTACAGTTACTTGAATTTCCTTTTGGAATGGACGAAATTTAATAATTGATGCCAAATGAAATTCTCTTATGTGCTTCGATCGATGGCAAATTCCCCGCCGAGGTTTGCAGCGTTTTAGATGCTTCGGGTTTTCTTTTTTTTTTTCTCGCGTGTGTGTATAGTCCTGAAACCAGGATGAGAGACAATCTGATTGGAATAAAGTTTCTGCAAACTGAGTGCAGCAAATGCGTTTTGCACCTATAATCGGTCTGGGTGGGTCGATCCAGACATGTGATCACGTGCCTATAGATGCATGGTCAGGACTTTTCGCTGTTATGTTCCATGTATGTATATTATTAGGGGTTATTATTATTATTATTAGCTTAGGGGTTAGACTAGAGCACTCACAAGTGAGAGAAACTGGGTTCGATTCCCCCGGGATAGGGCGAAACACTGGGCAAGTTTCCTTACTCCACACGCCTCTGTTTGCCCAGCAGTAAGTGGGAACCCGGTTGTCATCAACTGGCGGGTCGCTTTTCTGGGGGTAATAATAATAATAATACCATAATCCTTGCGTTTGATCTCGCGCCTTATCACGTCTTCCAGACATCTCAAAGCGCTTCGCAGAATAGACTGTAAAGTGAATTGACTGTATATATTGTCGGCAAAATGCAGCCGCCAAACAGCATTGTCCCACAAACAATAATGGATTGAAGTGAACAAATTCTATTATTCTTTTTGAAGAAATTATTATCCCCGGAAAAGCGATCCACCAATCGACTAACAACTGGGTTCCTATTTACTGCTGGGTAACCAGAGGCTTGCCCAACATTTTGGCCTGCTGGAAATCAAATCCAGGTCTCTCACTCGCAAGGCAAAAGTTCTAACCACTGAGCTACAGGACTCCACAAATAATAATCCCTTTAAAAAAAAGTAATAATTTGGTCACTTAATCCATGACTTTTGTGAGACGCTACTGTGCGCAATTGGCTGCTGCATTTCACCCACAAAACATAGTCAATTCACTTTACAGTATATTCTGCGAGGCATTGAGACATTTAGAAGATGTGATAAGGTGCTATATCAAATCAAGGATTATTATTATTATTACAGTTCAATATTCATTTATCAAGGGCTGAAGTGGTCATTCTTGTACAAGCCAATTTGTATTTAAGCACAGAAAGGAATTTGTTCATCAACAGCATGAAACAGCTACCTCAAAAGTAATTGCTGCACTGTATATTTTCACTGCCATATGGATTTTGGTAATGTATTGCAATAGTTCTGATAATGCTGTAAGCACAATAATAATAAGAATCCTTGCAATTGATAGAGTGCCTTATCATGTCTTCGAGATGCCTCAAAGCACTTCACAGAATATACTGTAAAGTGAATTGACTATGTTTTGTGGGGAAACGCAGCAGCCAATCGCTCACATAGAATCTCTGACGGAAGTATTATGAATGGATGCAAGTGTATAATTTGCAAAGTAACACATCATGTGGTCAGAGATCGATAGATCTTTATTTGGTCGGTGAATAAATTAATCAACTCCCTGACTGATGACAAAACACCTCTAAACACCATCTCCGCTACATTTAGCATGTATATCGCTAAAATACATAATTTCATTGGCTCATTGAATCTGAGGTGACATAAAGAAAGTATATTGTTAGATGCTTGATTGACATATTATCCCATATTTCATTCTATGCACCTAGATTAAATATATATATATAAATATGTGTGTGTGTAACTTACTGTTGATGTTTAAAGGTTGTAAGACTAAGTGTTAAGAGGACTCATGACCGGTTAATAACATAAAAGCTTGAAATGTGCTGACTATTTTTTAAATCACTTTCCAGGTGCACGAACTCCCCAAAGTATCGCATTACTGATTTGATTGACAGCTCCAGGATCCACATCAAGTTGTTAGGTTAATAAAGATTAGCAGTGTTTCCTCTATCGATTGCCTGGTTATATAATGACGCCTTGTAAACACAATGTCACTTAAGACCAACTTTTGGGGCTATTTTAATGATGCAAATGCTATGCTACCACCGATTAGACCATTTCTAAAGCAGCACTTTCGGTACAAGCGCTTTGATCGCATCGACATTCAATGCACTGATAAATTACAGATTGCTGTGACTGTACTTTAATTGATTGTCCTGTATCTTAACAATTACAAAAAGCTTCTAGGTGCACAAAATACCGATCGGTTGACATATTCAGGACCCGACTCCAATATCCCAACAGCATTCCCTTAAAAATTAATTCACTGGTGGGGGGGGGGTGGAGGGGAGAGGGGGGGGGGGGGAGAATCATTTTAGAAAAAAATATCTTATTTCAATTGCAGGATTGCAAATAAGATAACCGCGACACAACTTAATTTTATTTTAAATAATCGAGGCTTTTTTTTTTCGGAGGGAGGTGGTGGTGGGGTGGGTGCAAAAAACTGAATCGATCTGATGGGGATTCGACTCTGTTCAAGTGATCATTATTGTGCTGAAACCTGCTCGGTGACAGCCCCCCCCCCCCTCTCCCACGTTAAGTGATTGATTGACAGATGTCCTGGCCCTGTCCTGCACTGGGGGAGGCAGGTGTGAGAGTCCTGCTCCGTTCTACCACATTAACCTTTTTCACGCTTTCACGGGGTCGCGACACATTACAAATGGTCAGCCTTAATCATAGTGTCAGCTCGTTAACGTGGCGCAGCCCCTGCAAACAGGGCTGGACGATCCGTCTTCATTTTGGCTCTCAGTCAGGCTCTGGGGCTCAGCCACTGTTTAAACCACAAACAGGAAAGTGTGGCGGC